GGGCAGGGCGCGAAAATGCGGCGCGGACCTTCCAGCGGCCATTTTGGAACCGCCGATCAGCTGTTCTCCCCCGCTTCGTTATGCGATATTCGCTAAGCGAATTGCTTAGTGAATATCGCAAAGCGAAAAATCGCCATAGGGGCCATCGCTGAGCAAATGCTCCAGCGATGGCCCAGAGCGCCTCGCTAAGCGATTTCATCGCTCAGCGAGGCGCTCGTTAAGCGAGGCACCACTGTAATCTATATACGGCCAACCCTCGACTTACGAATGTGCCTAGATACAAACCTTTTGATTTACGAACGGCTCCGTTGGCAAAAACTGGCATTGACTTGCGAACGGAGCTTGCACTATGAATGAGGTCAAGGCTCCATTTGCAAGTCAATGCCCTTTTCTGAAAATGGAGCCGTTTATAAATGGCTCCCTGCAAAAAGGCAGGGAGAAAGGGCTGGAAATTCCAATCCCCCCTTTCTCCCTGCCGTTTTTGCTTCAGAGCTCTCAAAGGGCTTTCCGCCCAACATTGGAGCAAGACCTTGGAGAGCTCCGAAGCCAAAAAGGCAGGGAGAAAGGGCTGGAAATTCCAATCCCCCCTTTCTCCCTGCCGTTTTTGCTTCAGAGCTCTCAAAGGGCTTGCTCCGATGTCTGGGGGGGGGAAGCCCTTTGAGAGCATGGAAGCTAAAAAGCCAGGGAGAAAGGGCGGGAAATGCGAATTTCCAGCCCTTTCTCCCTGCCTTTTTTGCTTCAGAGGCCTCAAAGGGCTTTCCACCCGACATCAGAGCAAGCCCTCTGAGAACTCCGAGGCGCTGATCACGGTGGCAGGGACCCCCAGGGAGGTCCCCCGTGGTGCCGGGCAAGCCCTGGGAGACCTCCCTGGGGATCCCCGCCGTAATTGGCACCTTTGGAGCTCTCAAAGGGCTTTCCACCTGACACTGGAGCAAGCCCTTTGAGAGCTCCGAAGCCAAAAGGGCAGGGAGAAAGGGGGGATTGGAATTTCTAGCCCTTTCCCCCTGCCTTTTTGTCTTTTGAAATGCTGGAATGGATTAATTCCGTTCCCATGCATTTCAATGGGAAATGGTACGACTTACGAACTTTTCGACGTGCAAATGTCATTCCAAAATGGATCAAGTTCATAAGTCGAGGTACCACAGTAGTTGAAATAATGCCAAATCAGTTTGGGATATGTGTTTTCAGGACATTTCCTCTGTAGAGCTAATAACATGTTACTGTACTTGTTTTGGTGGAAGAAACACCAATAATTTAAGATATGCAGGTGATCACACATTACTAGCAGAAATGTAGTGTTGGAGAAATTCCTTCAGAATTACTTGATAAAAAGTGTCAGATGGATGCAAGACATTTCTGACAACGCCATTCTTCTGATTCCCATGACAGCTATATCCAAAAGTAAAGTTAACTACGAGTTCACTACTTTTTCATCATCGCTTGTCATAGCAGTGTTACTGGAAACAACCATGATGCAGCTGTTCTTTTTTTATGTAGAACCCAAATTTAACTCCTCCTAATCTACTAGAGTCTGGATATGATGACTTTATGGGCAATGTCACTTAGTATAATGACAATGCATAACATAATGCAATGAACACTAAGACCATTTTTTGGAACTGGTAGACCAGACGGATTGAATCAGGAAACCTTATATATGTACTGCACCAAAAATAAACATGTACGAAGAGGAAGACATTATGCAAATCTTTCCCGTCTTGTGACAGAAGCTTCTTTGATCCAGTTGAAGTATCATGGGTAGAAAAAGGTGAAAATAGCAGTGATTTTTTATAATTTTTCCAACCATCAGCAGTAGCATGGGGGCATAGGAGAGTGCAGAGGGAAGGAATGATTAGCAAAATTGGTTCCCTTCTCATGGAAGCTTGCACTCAACCAAAGAAACTCCCATCAGCTAAGGGCACATCTGGATACAACCTAGAAAACTGAAATTATTGTGCCCTAGTTTTATCTTACACCCAGCTTACCAGTAGTACCTTGGTTTACAAACACCTCAGTTAACATAACTTTCGGTTTACGAATGGAAATCTATTGAAAAGGAAGTTTCCCCAGAATGCATTGTGCCTGGAGGTTTATAGTCCCGCCTCCATTCCTATAGCAAACCGTGTTTCAGTTTACAAATTTTTCGCATTACATAACATTCCGGAGAACGCATGAAATTCGTAAACAGAGGTATTACTGTAAATGCAAGATTGCTGAACAATAATGATTTTTTATTTTCCTTCATGAGGAAGCTAGAAAATGCATACTTGGGTGTGGGTGTGTAAATTAGCTCTTTACAAAGACATTTCAAGAATTCTAAAACTTGAGATTACAGATATAGTATGTCTTCAGTTTTCTCTACAATGATAAATCTCTATCATCATGTCTTCTCAAAGCAATTGCCAACACAAAACACCTCAAACCAAAACCATGTCCTGCCCCCTTTAATGTTTTTTACAGCACTTTAAAAATAATTTCAGACTTCAAAAACAGTTAGACTTACACCACATGACAATATACCATTAGGCAAAATAGAAAAACTAGCACAGAACCATTAGTAAATGTGTCCACAAATGCAATTCATGCTTCGGAAAACAAATGGGTTAAGAGCAATAAGGAAGAAAAGGCAAGTAAACACTTTAATGATTGGTTGGGTAAGACTTTGGATCTGTTGGAAACAAAGGTCCTTCATTCCAAGGGCAAACACTAGATTCTGGGGAAAATACACCAGTGCTGGTGCAGGCATATTTAGTTCTCTCACTAGAAGAGATAGCACAGAAGAAAAATAAGAAAATACGTAACTCATAAAGGTTGAATAGGGGAAAGAGATAAAATGGAGTTTCCTTACCTTTAGCCCTGCTGGCATTTTTAAGCTCACTGGAGCTTTAAAAAATGATGCTTCTTCCAAAACAAACTTTCCTTCTTCTTCAACATAAATGTTCCATAGGTTTATTTAACTTAGTGCCCAACATATTTAGATAAATACACATTTTAAAACTAGCTTTGGGCTCAAAATATCAAACCCTTCCAAAGTCTCTTCCAAGACAAACCTTCCATTCCAATTATTATTGCCACTATTTTAATATAGATACGATCAGTTATGAAACATTATTGAAAGTAAAACTCCATAAATGTGAGAGAAGCTGTCCATTAAATTTTCAGGGTGAAAATCAGAAGATGCAACTAGAAAATCAGATCAAATGGAACTGCTCTATCAGTGTACCAGGAACAAGAATGCCAAACACGACTCCATACTCCAACTGAACAGCCACTGTCAACTATGGAGATCTTAACCAACTAATTATTTTTGAATATATGTATGCGGAACAAAAGGTCTTGAGGAAAAAACTAAAAAGTACACACACTATGAGCTTCACTTACTTTACTTCCCTGATGAAAATGGTATTCATATTGTGGAAGATAAATTTCTCACATTAAATAATAACAAATTATTGATTAAATCCTAAAATCAGACATTCTTAGAAAGCTACATGAATTTCTCATTTTGCAGAAAAATATACAGGCATGACATTTTATTATTATCCATATGCATCAAAGTCTATTAAGAATTTTATTCCTCCAGGTTTCTACACTCCATTTGTACAATTCAAGATCATAAAACTCTTAATGATCTCTAGGATTTTTATTCTAACAAATGAAGGAGAAAAATGTGGCTTTCATTTAGAAGCATTTTTTCCATTTCTTGAAAATGTGAGTATAGAAGTATTGTGACTGCAAATCCCTGATTAAGGTTTTTCAAACTGAGGATATACTATATTCTTTCAGGACACTTATGACTAATTTTATTCAGGATGATGAAAGTGGAAAACATACAAATCAAAAAAGTTTAAATATGCCCTCCTGAAATTGTTGCAGAAAACAATCCTTTCAAAAAAGCAATATTGATCTTCTAAAAACTTCAGCATGACATTACTTTTCTTTAAAAAAGCATAATTTACAAATGAGCAGTGTAAATAGCAAAGGTCAACAGAAATACCGAAGGTCCACAAAGAAAAAAAAGACAGATTTACTCCAAATATTATAAAACTTTGTATCTTCCTTTGTTGGTGGGCTGGTACGAATTTTGCTGGAAAAAAAAAAGGAATATGCAGTTAATCACACATACAGTTGATAATGTACTTAATAAAGTAAGGCAAAGTAACATAATTATAGAAACAACAACAACAAAAGAGCATAAGTGTGACTCAGAGTGATATGGAATTGAACTCTCTGAATTGGATGTTTGGAGGAGGGATGCATTGTTTACAATTTTGTTCTATTTCTTATACCCTTTTGTGTTCCTGAAAATCTCATTTAGGTGTCTCAAAGACCCTCAAGACAAATGTTTGTGAAGTGGTACTTCTGAGTAAAGAGCAAAAGGGGAATCACCAAATCTTGGTCCCTTGCATGCTTCCTCAAATGAAAGACAGTGCTGAATCCAAAAAATACCAACAGCTGACTTACCAGTCTGATGAGCTCTTCTTTGATAAGTCGAGTGATTTCTGCCTTAGCTTTCTGCACAGCCAATTCATTGGCACCTGAAATGAGAAGTTAAAAAGATGCAACATTTAAATCCACAATATGTAGTGGTGAAGCAAATCATTCCATAAAAAATTATAGTCTGTTTGTAGTTGCGATGCTATTTGAATAAATCAGTTATTGTGATAATATCTTGGTATTTTATTATCTGTAATTAATAAGTATCATACACAACATACAGCATAATCCCAAAGCTTAATTTGTATTTGAGTGATTAAATAAAGGCAATATAAATTACAAAGAAAAAAGACAGTTTAAAGCAAAGATTACACGAAGAGCATAACCATAAATAATGCTAAGCAGTATCCCGTAATGGGGTTCCACATAATGTGAGTTAAAAGAACTGGGAAGGAGAGATCAGCATCCCCACTACAGCTCATTGTACATCATGAAACCTGGCTCTGGACAGCTGGGAAACACTCTGGAAAAGGAAAATAGGAGGGATACTGATGCAATGGCCAGTAGAATGTTGGATATACTGTATTTGCCGGCGTATAAGATGACTTTTTTGGCCCAAAAACCATGCCTCCAAGTGTGTGGGGGGGTCCGTCTTATACGCCGGGTGCACTTCAGTTGGGCCAGGAAGGAGCTGCCACCGCCGTTGAGTGAGTGACGCGGGGCCGCGCCGGCCGGGGAAGAAGACAGGTAGGCGGGCAGGCAGTTGGTCTGGACGGAGGGAGGGAAGCAGAGCCGGCCATGCCTGAGTGGCCAGAGCCCGCCGTCCCACGCCGCTGAGCCAGTGGCTCGCTGCCGGA